AAAACTCCCTGAAAAGCCTTCAGCTAATCCAAAATGCTGCAGCAAGAGTACTGACAGGGACTAGAAAGAGAGAGCATATTTCTCTTGTATTGGCTTCCCTTCATTGGCTTCCTGTTAAATCCAGAATTAAATTCAAAAACCCTGCTGATCACATACAAGGTCTTTAATAATAATAATAAACAATCATCTTAACTTAATGACCTTAAGTATCATATCACCCCTCTCTTGCACTGCAGGCCTACTTGTTGTTCCTAGAGTATTTCAAAGAATGGGACGGGGAGCCTTTAATTTTCAGGCCCCTCTTCTGTGAAACCAGCTTCCAGTTTGGATTCGGGAGACAGACACAATCTCTACTTTTAAGATTAGGCTAAAAACTTTCCTTTTTGCTAAATCATAGAGTTAGGGCTGGATCAGGTGACCCTGAATTCTCCCTTAATAATGCTGCAATAGAGATAAGTGTCACGATGGAACAGGGAGGACAAGGGAGGAGGGTCCAAGGTTCCCAGGGGTACAGGGAAGAATCCGGAAAGCGTCCTCTCTCCACAGCTCCACACGAACTGCGCAATTCACTTGGAAAGGCCCTTTTCTCACACACCATCACTGCCAGACTCACGAACAGGCTTCGGGTGTCCAAACTTCCAAACCAAGCACAAAGGATCTGTACACAGAGATCAGAAATAAACACTGAGTAATTACATGAAGAGAACTCAAAATTGGCTTAGGCTAAAGTAGCACTTACAAGCGTCACTCAATAATCCAGCGACAAGGTGCTCTCAGTCACTGCCTTAAGTAGTGAGAGCAAACGAGGTGAGGAGCCACAGGGGATTGCTTGCAAGTGGTGAAGGCAAGGGGTGGAAGCCCACAATGAGCTCCGCCCAGGCAGCGTGTCGAGAGAATGAAAGGAGAGAGAGACAAAAGCAAAACACATGTAGCCACAGGGCCAGCCGGGCAGACACGGGGACCATGACAATACACTGCTGGGGGATTCCCATGATGCATTGAGTTTTTCTTCTTCAGTCACTTTTCTTACTCAGGCTGTATCCCAATTCAGGGTCTGCAGCCTTAAAATACGCAGCCTTAACAGTCCTCAAGGGCCGCATACTCAAAGACCGCTAAGGCCGCAAGTGCGAGGCTTGTAGGCTTGTGAAATGGGACAGGCTAGCCTCCGTCGCGCTGCCCAGGTTGCCTACCAACCACGATAGTAACAGCTGGAAACATTTCATACAGCTTTGTTTGACAGAAATGAAGGAGAACATATTTTGTTCATTTGTTTCTACATGAGCTTTGTGTGGTTTAATACGTATATATAAGAGACAAATGTTGTTCCTTCAGTATGTTGGCATTACTAAATTTGGCTCAATGCTTACACATATGTGTAAAAAGAAAATGTACGAGCTGTGATAACTGTTTCTGATAGAATGAAGAGTAGACTGATATATGAAATATTCCTTTATTGGGTGAGAAAATCAGACCATGTCATAACTGCTTTAAGTCATACAGAATAGATATCAGAGCCTTAAACAGGCTGACTTCTGCTAAATGGGTCAAACTGGGCAGAAAGTATACAAACACGTAACATCCTTATAGAATATGATGTAACACTATAGATCAACTTATCTCAAAATATAAAAAACATATAAACAATTACAGCAATATGATGCAACAAACACAGCAGTGCTACTAATCCAAAATACTCAAAGCTTCATAGAACTGAAACAAACATTTATTTTTAGCTCCATTCAGCTGCTGATACATACTTTAGCTTTCTGAACATTAAACTTGTTTCTGCCTTTCATAGTGTGTAACTTGAAGGCCCTGAGTACTTTCTCCTAGTGATGTGACGTTCTGTATCGAGGCTTCGAAGCTTGTGTCGAGTAATTGAGGGGGCGTTTCCGCGATGCGCGTATCGAGGCTTGCTTCATTTATGGGAGGAGCTGAAAATGATGACGTCCGAAGCCTCGCTGCCCGGCTGTACCACGTGACTGGTTCATGAAGTGGTTCGAACTTTGCCGCAAGCTATGACAGCGATATAAACCCCTCAGACTTCATTCAAAATGTTGGTGTTTGATGGAGAGTTGCGGTTAGTGAGAGTTTGGAGACAGTTTGGAGGTTTAGGAGAGTGAGGAGAGAAAGTCAGGAGAGAATGGAGCCAGCTAAGAAGAGGAGGATGTCCTCCCCTGTGTTGGAACATTTTGATCTTATTCCTCCCAACAAGGTATGTAAATTTCTACAGAAGATGTATTTTCATAATA